GGAGATGGCTAGACTCCCAAATATATATATGAAACGGGGGGGGGGGGGCTGGACATGCATAAAAGGGGTGCTGCTGGGAGCCAAATTATACAATACATACAATACACAAGATCCAGCGCACTCACCTATCCACTAAACAGCAACTTCAATGTTGACAGATTTTATGGGTTTTTTTTAAGTTTTTTTAAAAACACCTAATCTAGGCAAAAGTAATGGGGGTCACTTAATACGTCATTAATGAGGTCTTGGAAGACAGCCAGGGCATTACATAATCAGAAACTCTATATTCGTAATGCCCAAATCTGATATTAAAGACTGTCTTCCATTCATCATTTTTACGGATTCTAACAAAATTGTAAGCACTTCTCAAGTCTAGCTTGGTAAAAATCTTAGCCGCTCTCAGCCTGTCAAATAACTTGGTTATCAGCGGTATTGGATAGGCATTACATACAGTAATCCTATTCCATTCTCTGTAATCTTTGCAAGGTCTGAGGTCCCCTTCCTTTTTTGACACAAAGAAAAATCCTGCACCAGCTGATGAAGAAGGTTTCCTAATAAAACCTTTTTTTCAGGTTATCTTCAATATATTCTTCTAAGACCTGATTCTCTTTCGCAGAAAGAGGGTATACAGTACCTCTAGGGGGCATAGTTCCAGGAATCAAGTTAATTACACAATCACATGGTCCATGAGGTGGTAATAATTCAGCTTTGCCTTTGTCAAAAACTTATTTCACTGTTAAATACTGTTCAGGTATTTTGACGGTCAAAGGGGATATATTAGGTACATTAGTAAGATGAATGGGAAGTATTTTGGTGATACAAATCTCCACACAATTCTTACCCCAAGAGACAATTTCTCCCAATTCCCAGCTAATAGATAGATTGTGTTTCCTTAGTCAGGGATATCCTAATACTACTGGGATGGTAGGAGAAGTAATGTGTTGGAATACACAGACCTCCTTATGCAACACACCCACTATTAGGATAACTGGAATGGATTCTTGCATGATCCTGGAGGGGTCGACCGTCTATGGCTTCAACGGCTAATGGCGTATTTCTTAACTTTGAAGGTATAGAGTTAGCTTTAGCAAAATCCTGATCATCTATTAATGCCAAGGTATTAACCCTCTTATTGTCCCAAGTTAAGACAATGTGAGCTAGAAGTCGGTGCTCCCTATGAGCATTAGTTGAGGACACAAAAGAATCACCCAAGACCTGTCCCCCTTGTGGACTTAGGTGTGAGAGTTTTCTGACCTATTAGGGCAATTAAGGAGAAGATAACCCCTTTGTCCACAATAAAGACACAGGCCTTCCATTCTTCTGTATTGTCTCTCTGCTTCACTTATTCTAGTCACCTCTACTTGCATAGGTTCTGGCAATGCAAGTGTCTTAGAGTTAGGATAATTAAATACAGGTGCCATACAAATAGAATTTCTTCAAGGTCTATCTCTAATATTCTGTCTGTATCTCATCATCTGTGAATGATATATATATATATATGTTATCACTTCCTCAAGGTTATCTGGAATATCTCTAGTAGCTATTTCGTCTAACATAACATCGGAGAGAACGTTAAGAAACACTTTAACAAATGCCTGGCTGTTCCAAGCGATTTCCAATGCGAGAGACCGAAATTCTAGAGCATAATCTACCAAGGTTCTGGTTCCTTGCTTAAGTCTGAGCAGAGACCTGGCTGCATTGGCCTTCCTACCTGGAGGGTCAAAAGTACATCTAAATGCTTTGGTGAAAGCAACGTAATTATACACCAGGTGTTTGTTATTCTCCTATAAGGGATTAGCCCATGTCAAAGTTCTATCTACCAAAAGCGTGAGAATAAATCCTACCTTGAGACAGGATCATGGCTGGAGCTCAAAGTGAATGCTTATTTGTTTTTTTTTTAAAAAGCAAGCTTCCGGTGCTCCACCATAGTGTAGAGGTGGTTTGACAAGGGACGAGGCCCCTACAGTAGCTACCTCCAGTCCCCCATATTGAGAAGTCACGGAGGGAGCACTGCTTTCATCTGGTACAGGATTAGACCTGTTAATTAAGGTTCGTAAAGCACTAGCTATCTGGTCCATACGGTGATCCATTTCTTTCAAACGGTTGTTGTATGGGCCTACCTGAGTATTTACACCTGCCAAATCCATAAGGCCTTGTTGTATTGTCAGGAACGTTCTGGGATACTACACGCAGAATGCAAATACTAGTAATGTATACCGGACCTTAGGATGGCCAGACTAACACTACAGACACAATGAATAGTCAAATGTCAGGGGTACCAGAAATCAGGATCAACGATAATGCAATAGCCAAGGTCAAAGCAACTCAGAAGGAGGAATAATCAAAGCCAAAGTCAGAATACAAGAATACCAATACGGAATACGTGCTCTTGGGTAAAACAAGAACCACAACAGGGCAATGAGTCTCTCCCTGGTTTCTCTTTAAATATCGTGTTCACTTAGGTAGGTAACCACACATCCAAAATGTTCTCATTCTAACACCTTGGCAGGCTGTGCAGTTCTTAGCGTCATGACATCAGCGCTCATTAGCCGCTTAGGTGGGTTTATCGCGGCTGATGTGAGAATCGCTAGGGAGAAGCTGAAAGTTAGTAGGAGTGTCCCCAGTACCCTGCAATGAGATGCCAGTCTGTGACATGCTCCTGACTGATACATAAGGTAACCTGACAGACACCCAGTGGGAGTGGGCGAGCCCCCCAGATGGAAGAGGTGCAATAGGGTCCTATGCGGGATGTTTCCGCATGTTACTGATGGATTCCACCTGACGGCATTCCTATCCCTCTCCTCCCCTCTTCCTCCTCCCCTTCCCTCTTCCATCCCTTTCCCCCGCGCACCCCCCTTCCTCTTTTATTTGGAGCGCGGCAAATTTCAATACACTATGCAGATGATAAACTTGAGCGTATTACCTGGAAGGTATATACGACATAGATAAAGAGGCCCATTCAGAAGCTTGGTTCAATGTTCTTGCTACCTTTACAACTTTTTCTCTTATTTATTCTTCAGTTCTCTGTTTTACTAAATAAAAATATAACATTGTGCTATGGACAGGCATAGTGCAAGCGATAACAGCCTGGGGATTCCTTCTCGATTGTTGTGATTCTTGGTACGCTTATCAACATTTTGTAGAAGTATGTCGTGGCCTTATTGTAAATGTTATGTTTCTGTTTGGCTTGTGATTGCTGTCTCTTGAAATGCAAAAATTAAGAATTAAAAAAATTAAATAGATAAGAACTAAGTTTCGACATCTTGACTTAAGCCACGAGGTCTGCCTGACCCCAAAGATCAGCATGTATAAGCTACAAATCCACCTAAATTAGTATTTAGTGAGGTAGTCACCTCTTTTAAGTCATTCTTAGTTGGTAAAGCTTTAATTTGGCTTACCCAGGAGAGGGGAAGTTAAGGAGGAGGCTCATCAAGGCCCAAGTATAGAGACATTGGCATAGAAGGCTCAGAGAGGTTGTAGGCTTCAGAGTCCACCTGCTGAGGCAGACAGGTATTGTTGCATGGAGGAATGGAAGGATGCCTGTCGAGACTCCAGGGGGTTAGAGGTCCTTGTGGTCTTTGATTTCTACCACGCGATAGGCTTAGTATCTGTGATGTAGCAATGGGACGCCAAAGGAAAGTCAGCTGCTCGGCCATGCCTCCTCCTATTTCAAATCTATTTTGCTTACAACAATCCATCAATCAAAAGAATCTCACAGCAGGGTAAACTGCAGACATTAACCCCTTGAGGACCGATGATGGTTCAGGACCGTCATCGGAAACATCGCCTTGAGCACCGGTGATGAACCTGAACCGTCATAACGGTCTTGGGGCACTTACCCGATCGCCGTCTATAACCCGGCGGCAATCAGCATTTCACCTGGTCTGGGGGGACTGCCTGTCTGCCCAGACAGTCTCCCCGCGGCAGATTAGGACCCCGCGGTCACGTGATCGCTCGATCACATGGCCGCAATAGGTGCCTGTGTATCTGCCTGCAGGAGAACTGTCAGTGCTGACAGGCAGTTTCCCTGCATCTGTAAAATCCAAAATAAAGTTAAATAAAATCAATCAGCGTAAAAAAAATAATAATATGTGTATATATATATATATAAGATATATATATATACATATATATATATATATATTGTGATAAAGTGAAGGCAGATAGGCCTTTTAACCCCAGGGGAAGTATGTGTAGTTTCTGTGTTGCACAACACAAAGCTTTGCTTAGTTATGGGCCCCTGGGGTGGAGCATTTGGAGAGAAGGGTGGGCCAATGCTCCACTCCACAGTTTAGTGGTTTTCTGGGGAGACATAGATCCAGGCCAGGGTTTTTTGGATCGTCTCCAACCCACTGCTCAGCTGCAGTTAATGAGCAGTGGAAATAAACTCCTCCCTGCTAGGCAGGTGGAAGAGAGGGATTGCTGTCTTCCTCCCAGGAAGCAGGTAGGAGAGAGAGGCTGTTCTCTCCAGATAGTCAATGAGACTAGGCACTTGGAGTGCAGAAAGGAAGCAGTCAGGGCAAGGCTGGCTTGGAGCACTGGGAGTGCAGAAAGGAAAGCAGTCAGGGCAAGGCTGGCTTGGAGCACTGGGAGTGCAGAAAGGAAAGCTACAGGCTAGCTAGCAGAGTGTTGCTTTCTAATAAGGTTGGTGCAATATTGTTTTGTTTAGTTTAACCCTGAGAGATAGGGAACCTAAAGTGAGTCAGTGCTCAGACGAGCTAGGTTTTTGTTTAAAGGGAAACCTGTTATATTTTATGTTTTTTTCATTTACTGCTGTATCCTGTGTGGATTTGCAAATAAAGTGCCTGGAATGAAATTGCATTGAAAGACTGTGCATGTTTTTGCCCTAGAGGACCATGCTACCTGCAAACAAGCATCACAATATGGTGGAGAATGCGGGCACAGTAGCACAGTGAGGGTCTGTGGGTTTGCCAGTCATCTGGTAGTCTGCTTGAGGACTTTTATTTTGGCAGACCTGCTAATCAAATAAGTAGCACTGCACCTTTAAGACTGTTACCTGCTTGGTGCTATAATGGAGGACCTGCTGAAGGCTCTGGTACAGGCAACCACTGTACAACAAGAGGCAGCTGCTATACAACAAAACACCAACCATTTCCTGGCTGCACAGATTAAGAACCTGAGGGATGCTCAGCAGGAGCACAGAGCTGCACTTACTGAGGTTTTGCAGATTGCGCCCTGCAGGGAGAGTGGGGACAAGGGACCCCGTAACCAAGCTACTGACATCCTGCATTAGATGACAGAGGCAGTAGAAGAAGTCTTTCGCAAGCTGAAAAGCATGGAGGCAACAAAGCGTGATGTTGAGAAACACACAGAAGAGAGAGAACCGGAATTAGAAGGCAAGAAAGATAAAATTGATCCTGAAAGCAGTGATAATGTGGAAGATGGTGAAAAGGCAGTTGGATCATCCAAGGACCAAAAAGCAAAAGAAGAAAAGTTAGTAAAGAGTCCAGAAAAGCTAAAGGAAAAATCGGAATTGCCAAGAGGTAGTGATGGTGACACTGATGACATGCGCCAGAGTAAGAAAGAGCAGAAGAATCAGAAGGGAGATCAAGACAAACTGATTACTGACGTTGACAAGTGTTTATTTGAAAATCAGAACATTGCAGCTTCACATGAAAGCCTCAAACTTGCTCGGAGTGGCATCACCACAGATGAAGAGGTCTTGGAAAAAGAGTCAGAAACAAAAATATTTTCACGCTCAGAAGCTGAAGCTTACATGTTTCAAGAGAATGCTGGAAAGACGTTTGAAAACAGAAAGGTACTGATAAATCTTCCCAAGGTAACGAAAGAAGAAGAGAAGAATGACCGGAACAGTGCCTGCAGTGTGGAAAACAAGGATGAGACCATTAAAGATTCCTCTGGACCGGAAGATGAGACTCAATCATGTAACGATGACACAGTGCCATCTGCTACATGTCGGGATGTACAAGAGGCAATCAGGCCACGGAGGTGCAAGTATTTTGATGCAAATAATGAAATAGAAGAAGAATCAGAGGATGATGAGGATTATGTTCCTTCAGAAGACTGGCAAAAGGAAATAATGGTTGGTTCCATGTTCCAGGCAGAGATTCCAGTTGGCATCTGCAAGTACAAGGAAACTGAAAGAGTGTATGAAAATGATGACCAGTTATTGTGGAACCCAGATTTTATAGTGGAAACAAGAGTTCTAGATTTTCTAAGTGAAGCGTCCAGAAGGACTGGTGAAGAGAAGGGAATAGATGCAATTCCAGGGGGATCACATATAAAAGAAAACAAAGCAGGAGCCCCTGATGTACACCCAAGTGAACAACTTAAAGGCATGAAAAGCAGACTGACTTGGGGAGTCAGAGAAGGCAACCGCAAAAGAGCTGAGCTTAATAGAGAGAAGCAAAGCTCCCCAGCTGAGTATAGCAATGCGGTGCACTGTTTAGTAGCCGAGGCTACCCAAGAATGTCGGCCAGCTGTTGAACAGTTTGGCAGAGAAAAGAAAGGCAAAGTAGCTGCTTCTGATCTAAGCCAAGAGAGAGCGACAGTTACAGAACCAAGCTGTGGTGATAAGATAGGCACGTCCGCACCTAAGCCCGACCAAGGCGAAAGTTACAAAGCAGGTGACATTGGCGCAGCTAAATTAAATATTTCAAATACATCTGGTATTGCTACAAAGACTTTGAAGGATTGTCCGGGAGCCGTAGAACTTGAGCTGCTGGCAATGACTACTGCTACAAGGCCTGGGCGCACTAACTACCTGGAACAGCTGCCAGACTCTGGGAACACAGTCGTGGAATTAAAGGCGGGACTCGGACTGCCTGACCGGCTGTTTGATACTGGGGCTGTCATGATCCAGCGAGAGGCCATGACTGCATCTCTGGACAACCCCAAGGGAACAGGGAGACTGCCAGACAGCCCAGAGGAAAGCATTTCTGACATTGAGAGGTGGCCACTCAAGGCCGAGCAAGCGGAGGATACCCCTGGGGAGGAAACCAGGCAAAGAAGAGATGAACTAAGCCAGGAGTCTGGGCCTCAGGTAGAACAGCGCTCGATGCCAGGCCAGGCCGAGCATGATGGGATGGAGCTGGGATCAAAGGCTGCATTCATGCAGGAGGAGGGTGCTCTAGACAGCCTCCCTGGCCAACCCTCTGAGAATATAGATATGAGACCTGCCGCATTAGCCGTAGGGAGCAAAGAAGGCTCCCAGGAATTCGCAGAACTGATGATGGATGAGCTGGGGACAGAACTAGGTCTTGAAGAGGTTGAGCACCCAGCAAATTCGTCTTATGAAAGAACTGGACGTATAAGTGATATAGAAACGTTAGTTACACTCAAAGCTTTTGTAAAGTTTGCATTTGAAAGTAACTCGGACGTTGAGAGACTATCAAACCAGAAGCTGCTGTGGATGTGGAAGCAGATGATGATTCAGAGGAACTTGGCTACTAAGGAGCCACACAGTACTGATCCTCAGCCTAGATCCGCTAGCAACCAGATAAGCGGGGAAACTGGAAAGCAAGGACAAAGACTGGGACAATATACCTATGATGGTAGAACGTACCTAAAAGTCCCATTTTGGCTACGAGACCAGACTGAGAAAAACTGCTTCAACTGCCACATGCAAGGACATATTACATATAGCTGTCCTGAGAGTGAAGAGACAATACAATGTGACATAGTAATAAGGGCTCTGTATAGGATTGTATTGACTTGCTTAAAGATGTGTATGGTGACTGGTGGTGGTTTTACAGCACAGCTAAAAGTGGTGATGGTGGTAGGGAAGAGTGCACAAGCACTAATTAATTCAGGGAGTGAGGCTACTTTGAAAAGTGTTCTGCTCCAGCCAGTGATTGATATTGTGGGTACACATGGTGACACCCGCACATACCCCATGGCAGAGGTAGAGTTTGTCACAGAGGTAGTAAAAGTTAAATGCCCTGTAGCACATGTAGCTCAAACGCAAGAGCGTATAAGTAAGGCCAGGTTTCTGAGTACCTTGGACCTGGTCATAAGGTATTGGCAGGTTCCCCTGACAGAGAAAGCAAAGGGAAGGACAGCGTTTTATACTCCCAAGGGGTTATGCCAACATAAAGTACTGCCATTCAGGTTGCATAGTGCACCAGCCCCCTTTCCGCATATGAATAGGATACTTTGGCCCAACAGAGAGAATGCAGCTGCCTACCTTGGTGATGTGGCGATTCACAGGGTGGACTTGGAAGCACACCTGATGAGGGTCCAGTTAGTTGTGAATAATGTAAGGGCTGCCGGTCTGACCGCTAACACTAAGTGTTATCTAGGATTTGAGGCAGCTAACTATTTGGGTTATCCACTTGGGTGGGGGTTCCTTAAACTACAAGGGAGCAAGGTAGCAGCCATCTGCAATAGGCCACTTCCTGTAACTGAGGAGCAAGTCAGGGCTGGTACAGCCCTAGGTGACGTTATTGTTCATGGTTTGTGTTCTAAGGTCGCTCGACCCGATGGGTCTGAGCTGGGGGGGTGGATATGTGATAAAGTGAAGGCAGATAGGCCTTTTAACCCCAGGGGAAGTATGTGTTGTTTCTGTGTTGCACAACACAAAGCTTTGCTTAGTTATGGGCCCCTGGGGTGGAGCATTTGGAGAGAAGGGTGGGCCAATGCTCCACTCCACAGTTTAGTGGTTTTCTGGGGAGACATAGATCCAGGCCAGGATTTTTTGGATCGTCTCCAACCCACTGCTCAGCTGCAGTTAATGAGCAGTGGAAATAAACTCCTCCCTGCTAGGCAGGTGGAAGAGAGGGATTGCTGATTTCCTCCCAGGAAGCAGGTAGGAGAGAGAGGCTGTTCTCTCCAGATAGTCAAGGAGACTAGGCACTTGGAGTGCAGAAAGGAAGCAGTCAGGGCAAGGCTGGCTTGGAGCACTGGGAGTGCAGAAAGGAAAGCAGTCAGGGCAAGGCTGGCTTGGAGCACTGGGAGTGCAGAAAGGAAAGCTACAGGCTAGCTAGCAGAGTGTTGCTTTCTAATAAGGTTGGTGCAATATTGTTTTGTTTAGTTTAACCCTGAGAGATAGGGAACCTAAAGTGAGTCAGTGCTCAGACGAGCTAGGTTTTTGTTTAAAGGGAAACCTGTTATATTTTATGTTTTTTTTCATTTACTGCTGTATCCTGTGTGGATTTGCAAATAAAGTGCCTGGAATGAAATTGCATTGAAAGACTGTGCATGTTTTTGCCCTAGAGGACCGTGCTACCTGCAAACAAGGATCACAATATATACAAGTATAGTGGCACTCACCCTTTCAATGAATCAGTAAAAGACTGCCTTGGTGCAATCCCATGCTGGATATATAAAAAGCAAAAAGGAAAGAGATGCACTCTCAGGTCTTTGTAAAAAAACTCGATATTATTTAATAACAGGTAACATACATCTGATCGACGTCGATCAGATGTATGTTACCTGTTATTAAATAATATCGAGTTTTTTTACAAAGACCTGAGAGTGCATCTCTTTCCTTTTTGCTATATATATATATATATATATATATATATAATATGTAGATATATCTTATATATAATGTCATACTAAGTGTATTTTTATATTTCTATATACATATATCAATATACACTAACACTTATAATTAAATTACACACGTACAATATAATAACTATATATATATATATATATATATATAATTATAAAATATAAATAAGTATGTAAAAACTAATTTAAAAATGTAAAAATAATTTTTAATAATTTAAAAAAATTATATATACATATGTAATTTTATTCTAACGGTATTTTGATATATATATATATATATATATATATATATATATATATTTATATATATATATATATATATATATATATATATATATATATATATTATCAAAATACACTTAGAATGAAATGATATATCTATGTATAAATAAATAAAAATAATACAAAATATACATGTCCATATACATAATTACATAAATAATTTCATAAATATGCACGTAGCCTTCAAATATATAAATATGTATATATATTTAAATTCTACGTGCATATTTATGTAATATTTTTACATAATTAAGTAATTTTATTGATTGCAATTTGAGGGACATGCCTGACAAAACAGGCTGAAAGTTCAGAGAATTTAATTTGCTATCACTGTGTTTAACCCTGTAACTTTCTATGACACCCTAGAACCTGTACATGGGGGGTACTGTTTTACTCGAGTGACTTTGCAGAACACAAATATTAGACTTTCAAAACAGTAAAACATATCACAGTGATGATATTGTCAGTGAAAGTGAAGTTTTTTCCATTTTTCACACACAAACAGCACTTTCACTGATGATATTATTGCTGTGATACGTTTTACTGTTCTGAAACACTAATATTTGTGTTGAGCAAATCCTCCTGAGTATAACAGTCACCCACATGTAGAGGTTTTATTGTGTTTTTGAAAGTTACAGGGTCAAATATAAGGCTTGATTTTACTTTTTTAGTTTTCATTGAAATTTGTCAGATTGGTTATGTTGCCTTTGAGAGCGTATGGCAGCCCAGGAATGAGAATTACCTTCATGATGGCATACCATTTGCAAAAGAAGACAACCCAAAGTATTGCAAATCAGGTATGTTCAGCATTTTTTAGTAGCCACTTAGTCACAAACACTGGCCAAAGTTAGCATTTTTTTGCATTTTTAACACACAAATAAATATAAATGCTAACTTTGGCCAGTGATTGTGACTAAGTGGCTACTAAAAAAAGACTGGACATACCCCATATTGAATACCCTTGGTTGTTTACTTTAAAAAAAATATATACATGTGGGGTGTGATTCGAGGATTTATGACAGGTAACAGTGTTACAATGTCACTATTGATAAATTTAAAAAAATATATGTATTGAAACAGCAATTTCCTACTTGTACTTATAGCCCTATAACTTGCAAAAAAGCATGTAAACACTGGGTGTTTTTAAACTCAGGAGAAAATGTTGAATCTATTTAGCAGTTTTTTTCATTAGCATTTGTAGATAAGTAAAAGATTTTTTTTTTTAAATTCTTTATTTTTCGTGTGCATTATAATAAACATGTCTACGGCGTCACGTCAACAGAAGTGAGCCGGAGTAAAAAAATAAATAAAAGAGAACTAAGTTTCGACATCTTGACTTAAGTCATGAGGTCTGCCGGCAAACATAGGCATGACAATAGGCATGACAATGATATGACTGCACTTTTTTTTTTAAAGTGGAAGGATCGTAAGAGTAGGTATAACCGTGTGTATTGTATAGAAGTGAGTTTGGCTAGGTGGCATACCGTTATTGGGTTGAGTGCAGGTGTCTAGCGTGTGTATGCATAATATGTGGGTGAGTAACCCTGGGTAAGCTAAGGCCGAGTATTTATGTTGGTAAGCCGCTTTCCATACCGTATTGTTCCAACTGGTGATGTGCTCTTCTTTATGTCTTGACATGTGATTCCCTCTGTACAGCATAGTAAGTTAGGCGTGAGTTCAGGTAGGGAGGCGTTGTCTTTAACAATGTAAGGCTTTTACGGATCCCCTCCGTGTCTCCCATAGCAAGAGATAGAGCAAGCGAGGGCCCTGCTTTGGGTGAGTGTGTTGGGGGGATGGGTCTTGCGCTTCATTGTGTACCTGTCTTGGCGGTATTGGCTTGTCGTGGTATGGGTACTATGGTGGTACGAGTACCCGCTGTCAAGAGGGGTGAGGAGGCCCTATGATGAGTTTTGACAAGGGGGCCATTGTAGCATTGTGGTGCAGGGAGTTGTCAGTTAGGGCCCTGGGAAGGGTTGAGCGGGGTGGTCA